TAACAGAATGTGAGGATTATTGAACAACATAATCAATAACACATGCAATTGAAATCTTGGTGAAGATTATATTTTTTTTAAATCTAGAATATTACATCAACAACTGTGGAAACTCAGGACGAATTTAGATGAGATAGAATTGACAGTGGAAAAACTGAGGACAATACAGTTATTGCAATTATCAAATAGGAATAAGACCTGTATAACTGTCAGAAAGGGAAATGAATAGGGAGTGTGAAAGGAGGGAGAAAAAAATCACTAGGACAGCAGAGATTAGCAGGCAGATTGAGAGATGTGAAATAGGCAAGGTGCAATGGAGACCTAAAGAGACAGGATGATTAAAGTCATAGATCAATAATAATTAACAATATAAAGCATAATATACAGAAATGATTGTATAAAACAAAATGTACATGAATTAAATGCTGTATATGAATGATAATATAAAAGTGAATAATTGTATAAAACACAATGTAAGTGAAAGAAACAATTTACATAAAGGAATTTATGCAAACAAATAAAAAAGAAGAAGAGGTTGTAGCACCATGGCTATTTATCATTGCTAATATCAGATCAATCTTGGCTAAAAGCAAAGAGTACCAGAAAGGTGTCTACTTGTCTTTTATCAACTATGCAAAGACCTTTGATTGCATAAATCCTAACAAACTGTGGCTAACATTGAGAAGAATAGGTATCCCAAAACACTTTATTGTGCTCAGGCAAAACTAGCAGCTGTCCAAATACAACATAGGAATACTGTGTGGTTTAAAATAAAGAAAGGTGTGGATCAGGGATCTAGCCTTTTTTCTATACTTCCTTAATCTCTTTGCTGAACAAATCATTCAAGAATCTGGACTTTATGAAGAATGTGACATCAGGATCAAAGAAAGACTCATCAACAACTTGCATTATGCAGATAACACAATCTTGTTTGCTGAAAGGAAGGAGGACTTGAAATGTTTGTTGCAGAAGATCAAATACCACAGCTTTCAATATGCATCACATCTAAACATCAAGAAAAGAAAACTCTTCACCATTGGATTAATAGGCAGCATCACGACAGATGGAGAAAACACAAATATTGCCAAGGATTTCATCTTACTTGGAGCTACAGTCAACAACTTTGGTAGTCAGGAATCAGCAGTCAGGAAATCAAAAGACATGTTGCACTGAGAAAGTCTGCAGTTAGGGACTTCTCTGAAGTGCTGAAGAGCAAGGACGTCAGTTTAAAGACCAAGGTCCATCTGATCTAAGCCACTATCTTTGCAACTGCTTGTTTTACATCTGAGAGCTGGATACTGAAAACAGAGGAAAGAAAAAGAATTGATGCCTTTGAGTTGGGGTGCTAGAGAAGAGTACTATGTATCTTATGAAAAGCCAGAGAACAAGCAAATATGTCTTCAAGAGGGTGTATCCAGGGTGCTGCTTAAAGGGAGATATGACTAAGTGTCATCTCACATACATTGGGCATGTTGTTAGAAATAACCAGTTCCCGGAAAAGAACATCATCCTCAGAAAAGTGGAGGGTCAGAAAAGGAGAAGAAGACCTTCAATGAGATAGAATGACATAGTGACTGTAACAGTGGTCCCAAGTGTGACAGAGATGATAAGAATAACACAGCATAGGGCAGGGTTCATATCCATTCAGTCATTACAAGTGGTAGTAGGCTAAACAGCACCTAACGACAAAAATATGCTTCATACAGTCTATGTTCAATTATTAATGGATGTTTGCAGATGTTTCTCTTTTGAGTGCCTTCTACCCTGAGGGTCTCATCTTCCAGCACTATATTCAACAATGTTCCTCTGTTATTCATAAGGTTGTCAAAGGCCTGTTATTTCAGAAATGGATGGTCAGTTCTGAGAATTGATGTTTACCAAGCCCTTAAGGCATCAGGGAAATAAACTCGTACTTTAATGAAAAGAATAGAAAATAATGGAAAAACTCCAGCAAGTAGGTTCAGAAAAATGAAATAAAATAGCAGCAAATTTGCTGTTGCATTTTTTTCTTAACAAACACACACACACACACACACACACACACACACACACACACAAACACACACACAACCCCAAACACCTAGCAGCAATATTACTTTCTAAAAAGAAAGATCAATCAGTAAATTTGCTTTTTCTGAAAAGACATTTGAGAAAGGGGAAATGTAGTTTTTCTGATTTCTGTTAAGTAAATTGCAGTTGATGTAAATCAATCATCTCCAAAGCTCCCTAATCTCTGTGAAATCAGGAAAATACAAACATTTAAAAATATCATTTGCCACCATTCATAAAAGAGCAGTAAATTGAATACAACAATTACCTAAATGGTTCACTTTCTTATTACTGATTTGGTTGCACTTTGTTCTTTAAGATTCTATACATGGAAAAACAGCTCCTCATTTCTAATATTTTTTTATTTCTCTACTCAGAATGCTGAGAGTCTCATACTGCCTCTACTTGCTCCAGTACTTCTCCGGCTTATCTGTTATGAACATAGCCCTCCTAGAAGAGAGAGAAGATCATGCTGGAGTAGAGTGGCTGCTCTTCATAACCAACCACAATGACAGTCTCCTTCAGTTCACCATAAAAGTTTGAGCTCTGCACTACAGGGTCAATGAGCGTGGATACAGAGCCCATTGCAGCCATCATCCTGTCAATTCATCTGCTTGAGGGTCTTCCTCTCCTTCACCGATTCTCCACTCTTCTGAACATCATGTTGTCCTTTTCCAAGGAATAGCACATCCTAGCAACATAGCCAAAGTATGTGAGTCCAAGCCTCATCATTCTTGCCTCCAAAGAGCACTCTAGCTGCACACCATCTCCAAGACATATCTGTTCATTCTCTTGGATGTCCATGGAATGTTCAGTGCTCCTCTCCAACACCACAGCTCAAAGACGCCAATTCTTTTTATGTCATTCCTATTTACTATAACATCTTTATCACATGCAAACAAAATACTGCTGAAAGTTATTTCAAAATGGCTTGAATAGTGCATAGATAGAGAATTGACAGATGTTCAAGTGGGATTTAAAAGAGGCCGTGTTACCAGGGATAGCATTGCTGATGTCAGATGGCTCCTAGCTGAAAGTAAGTAATACCAGAAGAATGTCTATTTGTGCTTTATTGACTATGCAAAAGCATTTGACTGTGTGGATCATGACAAGTTGTGGCTGACAATGAGAAGGATGGGAATCACAGAGCACTTGATTGTGCTCATGCGGAACCTATACCTGGATCTGGAGGCTGTTGTATGAATGAATCAGGGGAGCACTAAATAGTTTGGAATTGGGAAGGGAGTGCATCAGGGTTGTATTCTCTCTCCTGTTCAATCCATATGCTGAGGAAATTATCCAAGTAGCTAGACTCTATGAGGAGAAATGTAGCATTAGGATTAGAGTGAGACTCATCAATAACTTGTATTACGCAGATGACACAACTTTATTTCCTGAAAGTGAGGACTTGAAGCACTTGTTGAAGAAGATTAAAGAATGCAACCTTCTGAATGAATTGTGTCTCAGTATCAAGAAAATAAATATTCCTACCACTAGACCAATAAGCAGTGTCATGATGGGTGGAGATTGAAACTGTAAACAACTTCATCTTGCTTGGATACACAATTAACACCCATGGTATGAGCAGTCAGGAAATGAAGAGACACATTGCACTGGGAAAATCTGTAGTTAGGGAAATTGTCAAATTATTGAGGAGTACTGATATCAGTTTGAGAACTAAGATGTGTCTGATTCAGGCCATAATCTTTCTGATTACTAGATATGCACCCAAGACTTGGACAATGAATAAAGATGACGGAAAAAGAATTTTTTCTCACCTATTAGTCAGATGCAAATTCCTTCCTCTATTTCTAATTTATTATCTTTGAAGTAAAGCCTGGAATTTGGATAATCTCACTTAATAGTAAGTGACTCAGAAAGTTGAAAAGTCTTCTAAAACAACAATTTATAGAAAGATCTATAAAGCAATGGTTAATAATTTCATTATAAGCATTTGTCTTTTAAATCTGAAAAATATTTCATTGAGGAAAGGAGGAAAATGGCTAGAGAAGTAGGATCAGTTGAGAATGGTCATGAGTCCAACCATATGCATCCTTAGAAACTGCCTAGATGCTTCACTCTGCTCTCTAACATCCACCACATTGACATGCAGTCTGAACACACATTGAATGTGACAGTTATGTGAGTTTGGGGTGAAAGTGGCACTGAGGACGAATCTGGCTTCATGCTACTAAAGCTGAAAACACTATAACCACAAAGATCTCAGTTAAGAAGATATTTGAAAGCAAGACAAAACAGCTACAACCACGCAAAGAAAATGGAGTCAGAATAGGGGGAGGGGAAGGCTGTGCTGGCAGTGAATCCAAAAACCAGACCAAATCAGTGATGGTAAGTTGAGAAGAGGCAAACAAGTCTTTGCTTGGCTTTGCTGCTGTCAGTTGGAGATTCCATTCAACTGCCCCTGCTGGGCATTCCGCTCCCCTGAGCATGCCCAGTTTGTGTGACTGACTTTCCCCAGGTTGAATAATTAACAAGATCACCATAAAGGCTGTACTGACACCAAGCCAACAAAACTAACCCTACATTCCTCATCGATGGGCTCAAGTTCAGAAAGAGGAACTCCTTTGGTCTACAACAACGGTTTGAGACTCAGTGTCTGAATTCTTCCTTCTCAGATACTCTTGTCTCCACTAAAGGGACGATATTCAGTGAGATGCAGTCAATTTGTCGGTCATCAGGAGCTCAGAAGCTAGAAAAGGTTATGGTGGTAAAGCCCAACATCATTCTCCTCAATAGCAAGCCATTGCTGGATGCTCCCAGATCCTTGTGTCAATCAGGTGGAAGGCAGAGTTTAATTTAAAGAACCTCATGTGAACCTTATTTAAGAAACTTTCCAACTTGTTTCTTTAATATTTTTAGCCTTGTTTTTTTTGTGTTACTTAAGTGCTATCTCTTAGGGAGTTTGAAACAGCCAAGATATACCTCACACCATGGGAGAATCTATAGGTAAGCATCATCGTATCTTGAGGAGTTGGAGTTCTACTGTACGTTTTATGTTCATGTCATCATAAACATGTATAGGGGCTGGAGGAATATGTGTATTATTTTAAGATATTTTTACATTGGAAAAACTTTATGAAATGAAAAGCTCAAATGGTATTACCTTAATTAATTATTCTTTCATTTAAAAATAATGAAACCATGTAGATGATAAAGGACCAAAGGTTAGCCTTAGAGAGGATTGTAACTTACCTACTTTAACCAGTTACAGTCTTTCTGATGATAAAGGGTTACATGTAAACACACACACACACACACACACACACACACACACACACACACACAAACAAATCCTGTGGGTTTTTTTCCAATTAATTTTAAGTCCTACAAAAATTCTTTGTAAAACATTGAAACACTACTAAAGGGGTGTGGCTCATTTGGTTGTTTATAAAGAGTTATTGTTGTTGTTATTTGCCATTGAGTCACTTGCAACTCATAGTAATCCTATGTACAACAGCCCTATACCCTGCTCTATCCTGTGTGAATATTATTGTCTCCAACACATCTACTTCCATTACTACAGTCACTGAATCAATCCATCTCATCGAGGGCTTCCTCTCCTGCACTGTCCCTCCATCCTTCCAAGCATGACGTCCCTCTCCTGGGACTGATCCTGCCTTGCAACATGCCCAAAGTATTTAGATGAACTTCAGAATTCTTGCCTCCAAGGAACAGCCCAGCTTCACCCTCTCCAGGACAAACCCGTCTATTCTCCTAGATGTCCATGGTATATTCTCCAGCACCACAACTCAAAGGCATCCAATCTTCTTCTATCATCCCTACTCATTGTCCAGTTTTCTGATGCATAGCAAGTTATTGCAAAGACTGTGGCTTAAATCAGGCACACCTTAGTCTCCAGACTTACATCGTTGTTCTTCAGTACTTTAGAGAGGTCTCTGACAGAAGACATTCCCAATGCAATTCATCTTCTCATTTCCTGGCAGCTGGTACCAAGAGTGCTGATTGTGGAGCCAAGCAAACTGAGGCTGTTAACACTCTCAATCTCTTCATCACAGAACAGATTATTTGGGAGGTTGGACTCTATGAGGAGAAATGTGGCATTAGGACTGAGGTAAACTCATCAACAAACTGCATTACACAGATGACACAATCCTGCTTGCTGAAACTGAGGAAGACCTTAAGTGCTTGCTGCAGAAGGTCAAGGACTGTAGTCTTCAGTATGGATTGAAGCTCAATATCAAGAAAACAAAGATTCTCCCCACTGGGCCAATTGGCACCATCAGGATGGATGGTGAAGAGATTGAGATTGTTCATAGCTTCATGAGGAGCTACCTCCTCTCAAAATGCTTTGTCCTGTCAACTCAATGTGGGATCTGAAATTCTTTATTTGCCTTTTTTTCTCTTCAGTTTTCCAGAGTATTCTATTCAAATATAAATATTCCTGTAAAGTGCAAGGCACAAGCATTTAGGTCATAAACAGACAATAGCAAGATTTTATTGACCATAGAACTAAAAGAGAGACTTGGAAGAGCCAGGAAGGTAGATAAAGGGGAAGAAGATGGCATAATGAAGAAGAAGAAGAGGGCATATTCATTGAGGAAGAAGCAGCTGAAAATAAAGAGCTATGTGGCGGTATCATCTTCAACTGCAGCATAGAAGAGGCTGGGCTCAAGGAACCTTAGAAGCAGGCCTTAAAATAGAATGTATAAGAGGCGCGTGTTTGACTAGAATAAACAGGAATTAACGGCTTTATCATCCGTTCCCCATTTAATTCAAATTTTTAAAATGACTATTTTTTTTTCAAAGTACAATTTCCAAGTATGTCAGGGATACGAAATATTAATAAAACATAGTCCTTTTTATCAAAGATCTAGCAATCGAAGAAGACAGACAGACAGAGCAAACCTATAACCACTGCTTCTCAGACTTATCTTAATGCATTTTCTTGTTCATTTTAGAGAGCTTTGGAGATATCAACCTCACTCTCAGCATGCTGGCCAAGGAAGAGAATAGTAGTAAGGTAGGAGGCAAAAGAGAAAAATCTCTTTTCCATTTATCTTCTCTAGTCTACTTGTTGAAACAGTTATATGTCTTTGTTTGGCTCAAATTTCTTATTTCTCTCTGGCTACTTCCATGGCATCTGGTTTAAGGAAATGCAAATGTAATGCATTATAATAGTTAAACAATGGAACATTTGAAGAATGACAGCATTGAGCTCTAGAAGTTCACAAAAGAATCCTCCTCCTCACAGCTTTATGCATGCAGATTTGGGAAGAGGGTTGAGGTGTCAGATTTACAGTCATGTGGATTAAACCTCAGTGCTGTGGTGACCTAGTGATTTGAGTCTATCAGTGGCTTCACAAGAGAAAGATAGCAAGTTTCATCCCACACAATTTACAACCTTGCAAACCAAATGGAGGGTCAGAATCAAACACACAGCAATGAGTTTGAGTTTTTGGGTTTTGAGGGGGTTTTGGTATCATTTGAGGAGTTTTACCAAGTACTGAAGAGCAACGGTGTCTCTCTGGAGACCAAGGTGCGTCTGATACAGGCCATGGTCTTTGCAATCACTTGTTATGCATCAGAGAGTTGGACAATGACCAAGGAGGATAGAAGGAGAATTGATGCCTTTGAGCTGTGGTGCTAGAGAAGAGTATTGAGAGTACCATGGACTGCTAGGAAAACAAACAAATTCATTCTGCAAAGAATTAAACTGGGTGGCTCCTTGGAGGAAGGATTCTGAGGCTCCATCTAACATGTTGTAAGGAGAGACCGGTCCTTGGAGAAGGACATCATGCTTGGGAGGGTGAAGGGACAGCACAAGAAAGGACCTCTATGAGATGGATTGATTCAGTGACTGTGGTAATAGGGCTGGGAGTGTCATAGACAGTGCAACTGGCACAGGACAGAGCAGAGTTTAAGGCCGTTGTACATAGGGTCGCTATGAGTCTCAAGTGACTCGATGGCACATAACAACAACCACCACCAAGTACCAGGTACAATGCATAGTTTGTTATGTGTTGGATTGTTAATGTGGTGGGCAATTCAAACATAACAGTCTATTGCAGACAGAAGAAGTGATCTTCTATACTGATTTGCAGCCTCAGAAACTTAGTGGAGGATTGTCATAAGTCAGATCTGAGTAGATGGCAGTAACTTTAAGTTAGTATGGAAATCTCAGGAGTCCTGGTGGTGCCACTTAACATCCTCAAATGCTAAGTGAAAGGCCAGAAGTTCAAAATGTTACAGCAGGTTTAAAAGAGAAAAAAATATGTCAATCTGTTTCCAATTATAGCTTTGGAAACTCTATGTGGTGATCTCTCTCCTTTTGAGCCACTATGAGTTATAACTAACTTGATAGCACTGAGTTGTAATTTTACAACATCCTCCAAAGGTCTCTCCTACTCATCTGTAATGTATTTTCATAATTAAGTATTTTTCCCCTCTCAGAGTTGAAGCTTTTTTTTTAATCAAAAGCCATGAATAAAGTAACAATAACCACTCTTCATCAAGGGTTGAATCTGACAATAAGTCAATGCACCTCACAGTCATCTATTTAGCCACTACCCAAGTATCTACAGAAGACTTTATTGTCCTAACACTAAGCTTTCAGGGACACTCCAAGACTTCCACAAGATAGAAAGGACTAGCAATCTGCTTCCAGATATTAGTCAGTGAAAATCATGTGGATCATAGCATCGACCAGCATAAAAAATAGGATTGATTCAGGACCATGAAGAATTTTGTTCCATGTATATGCTATTATAGTTACTTATCATCAAGTTGACTATGACTCATAGAGATCCTATGAGCAACAGCTCTGAATCTTGCCCTATCTTGAGCCAACCTCTCCACCACTGAGACACACCTAACCACATTGTCATAGTCACTTTGTCAGTCTATCTCATTAACAGTCTTCCTCTCTTGCACCGACCTTCTTCCCTTCCAAAGATGATGACCTTCTCCAAGGACTAGCACCTCCTACCAACATTCCCAAAGTGTGTAAGATGGGGCTTCACAATCCAAGGAGCACCCTGGTTTCATTTTCTCTAAGACATGGGAGTAAGAGCCTTAAATTTGGAAGCTGACTCAGTGGCAACTAAAAATGAAAATCACTCTTCATTGAACATTTATATAGGAAGTAGAATGCTAGACACTTTCCAAATATTCATGCATTTACTCTTCACAACAACTTTATGAGGTTGTTATGGTGGTTGTTAGGTGTTGTTGAGTACCACTCGTAAAGACCCTATGAACAACAGATCTGAACCCTGTCCTATCCTGTACCAATCTCACAATCTCTAACACTCTCAAGCCCATTGCTGTAGTCATTGTGTCAATACACCTGGATTCCCCATGCGCAATGTTCTCTAAGGAATAACCTTTCCTAACAACATGCCCAAGAGTTGATGTCTTTGAACTATGGTGTTGAAGAAGAATGCTGAAGATCCTATGGGCTGCCAAAAGAGCAAACAGGTATCTCTTGGAAAAGGTAAAACCAGAATCATACTTGGGAAGTTAGAGGGACAGAGAAACAGAGGAAGACCTTCAACCAGGTGGGTTGACATGGTGACTGTAGCAATAGGCTTGAGTTTGTCAGAGATTGTCAGAATGGCATGAGATAGGACAGTGTTCGGATCAGTTGTTCATAGGATCATTATGAGTCATACTCGACTCAACGCTAACTAACAAACAACATGCTCAAAGCATGCGTGATAAAGCTTTGCCATTCCTGCCTCCAAGGAGCGCTCTGACTTCAACTTCTCCAAGACATATATGTTTGTTCTTTTTTTTTTTTTAATGAGGTAGATATTGCTATTTCCATTTGACAACTAAGAGAAGCAAAGCTAGAGCTCTGTTATTAC